ATTGGTTAAAACTGCATTATGCAGCATCCGGTTTGGAGGGGTTAATATTATTACTGACTGGTTAGGAGAAAGGGCACCGACTGACGGTATCTACAGGTACCTACAGACTTCCCCGCCACTAAGACCAAGGTGCAACCAAAAAAATCAGAGGATACAACATGTCCAGAGGGCTTGATATAGATACGATCATACTGAATTCAACATGTTTGATCGCAAATTCTAATGTACATATGGACTTCCTTTGCAAGGTATATTATTCTTTGCGGGTACCTTAGTGGTGGGGAAGTCTGTAAAGGCATCCATTTGTACCGACAACACATACATTCCAGAACCAGGGGGTATTATAGTCAACATGATACCATAAATTTCACAATTTTTAGAGAATCTATTGTGTGGACACGGATACTTGCTCTATGGGTTGTTACACGACGGTTGCAGAATGTATAGACAAACTATCATTGTTGTTTAAATATATAATCGACTTTCAAAAGCCGGTTGTTGGTGTGGCGGAATGGGTTAGCAGAAATTGCTGTCTGCCGCTGTCCAGCTCGCTACAGTGCCTCGGACGACCGACTAACAGAGGGGGTACTCCGAATGTCCGCCGACGCTGAGGTTCTTCTACCCGTTGGTGGGGCGGGGTTGCACTCTTCCGGTGACTTGAGGATGCCTGGGTGTTGGTCGTGGGAACCGTATGGACGGTATTTGGGATTGTTGACTGGCGCGTGGATACCTCTTCACGCGGCTGTCGGGTATGGGGGGGGTAGATCAGATGACCAATCTACGTGTTCTTGTGTGTGTTTGTTCCTTTCCGTTGCTTGCCGCTTCTGATAGCGGGATCTTTGAGGGGGGGGGTTGGTCGAGCCTAGTCAACCGGCGTAGGGTCGACGAGTTGTTCTGCTGCAACGCGGGGTGGTTCCTTGGTTGTCAGGTGGGCCAATATACGTTCCCAGCCTGGTATAAGATGCCACGTGGCTAAAGCAGAGGGGTCCAATGCGAGAGGTCCAATGAATATTCAGAAGTCTACTTATCTTTCCCTAGCCTATCTCCAGAGCCACTCATCCTGAACTGTGCCTACATGTCCCGTAAACCTGGTACTCTTGTACCCATATCAGCCTTGCTCATCTCGCCTGCGGTCTTCAACTCTTCACCTGTTGATCGATGGCCGTTGATCGAAACACTTCTCGATGATCGATGATCGATGATCGATGATCGACGACTGATGATCGATGGTCGAGGTCCTTCTCGTTGATCGAAGACCGAGGTGTAGGGTAGGGTTCGGTTTTCGTAGCTAACTTCAATTGGTGTGTCCGTCACACCAAGTGCGACACGCCTTGCAGTCACCTTCGCCTTTCAATCGATCATCCGACTCCCAGTCACACTTGATCTGATTTTCCGTGGTCGCTCCACGTCATGCTCCACGTCAATCGCCCCCTGCGTGCAACGGGACTGTACAGCAGTTTACTGGCACGCAAGCTCCTAACTGCCACACCATACTCCGGATCTTATTCTTCCTACGCTGATCGACCGGTATGCCATCCCCATCCTCCGCATCTTCTTCAGCGCCTGGTGCTCCGAGTACCGGTGCGCGTCCGTCTGCTCCTGGCTCCTCTTCTGGTGCTCATGATTGACTCTCTCCTTGTGCTGTGGCCACTCATCTTCCTTTTGTGGTTCCTCAGCTCCTCGCGCTCGCGCTCGTGCGTTGCTTCTGCCGCCGGTGTTGCCCACACTTCCTCTGGTGCCGCCTGCGCTGGACAATGCTTCTGTCCGCGGGGCATTGGATCAGCTCGCAGCCGCGGTGAACCATGCCAATGCATTGGACTCTCTGGTCGATGACCACCACGCGTTGCTGCTTATCCGTCGCGATTTGCGAGCACGCGTCCGTGAACAGGAGCAGCAGATGGACGACAACTTCGCTGCGGCCCGGTCCTTCTTTGAGTTCGTTGAGCACAAATATTCCATTGTGCTCAATCAGCGCAATCGGGCCCAGACGAACCTCGGAGAGACGTTGGACGAGTTGCAGGATCGTCGCGACGATTCCGTTGAGCTCCTGGACGTGCGAGATCGTCTCCAGACGACTCTCGGCGACCACATTGAAGAGCTGGAACGTCTCCACCGTGAGATCGACTGTTTGGAGTCACGTCTACGTGCTGCTCGAGCAGTGGCAACTCAAGCTTCCCCTGCCGATGCTCGTCGCTTTGCTGCCCTTCACCGGGAGTGTGATCAGCTCCACGTCGATCTTCGTAACGCTCGAGATGCCTTCCGTACTCAAGATGTCTCTCTCCATAGCGCTGAGAACACGATCCGCTCTCACGAGGCCCACCTGAAGCAATTGGAGGACTCTGAAGACCACCTCCAATGCCACGTCAGCAAGTTGGAGTCTCGGCTCGGTCTTGCGCAAGCTCATCACCAGCGTGCCTGTGAAGAGCGGGATCGGTTCAGCAAGATACTGATGCGACGCGCCTTGATCAAGAGGAGTTCCAACTTTTCAAGTTCAAGTTGCCGTCCTTCAGAAGGCATCTCTCGTGAAAGCGGTGCGCTAAGCCTCCGCGTTCTGGAGGCGGAGACGGCCTGTCACATTGCTGAGAAAGAACGTGACCAAGCCTCTGCCGATCTCCTCGCTCTGCGTCCACAGGTTGCCGGTTTGATTTCCTTGGTGCAGCCAACTCCGGTTGCCATCTCTGCGGCAGATGTACCTGTCACCTATTCGTCCTTCGTGGGTGATCACCCTCGGGATGCGACCAGCTGTAAACGCCGTTCTGCTCAAGATCCTGACACAGCCGCGCCTCCGGCTCGCTCGACACCTCGCCACGAACCTCTCCATCCCGGCGACCATCCTTCGGAATTCGATCTCCCCGTCGCACAAAACAATGTGTCCGTCGGTGCCGATTCTCCGGGGCTCCATGGAGCTACAACCCTCCGCGGATAACGTCTTTCTGGCCATGATGATGTCAGATCGTCACCCTCCGGTCCGTCGTTGAGTCGCCTCAGACGTGACGGTGCTCATTCCGATTCGGTTGGTCCTCCTCGTGATGCCGGCTCGGGCAGTGATGACTCTGTAATGGACGCCTTATCGGGTCGCCGCACATCGTCATCTCCTGCTTCGTCGGACCTCGCTGGTATCGCGCGTGATCGTTCGATCGCGTTGGACGTCGATGACGCAGATGATGATGACACTGGTATTGAGCGAGCAAGGCCGCCCGTTACCAGTGCGAGTGTCCGTGATCCTGTTGTTGTCGATGCCGGTAGTGTCCCCAAATTGGTGCCTCGCAACGAGCTGCTGATGCCTGCCGTCTACGCTCAATTGCCTCCAGCCAGTGTTGACCGTGCACACTGGCTTCCGGGATATCGAGCCCGTATAACCTTTTCTGTGGCTGACGCAGCTCCCTGGCCCCTGTTGGACGTCTCGCAAATCAGCGTCCTTGAACTTGACGTTGGGATGTTGTTCAGTCGCTTCTCCTAACCTCCTAACTGGCTATTTCCGAAGCCCGAGCCGGTGCCCCGTGACTCGGATTGGGACGGGGCTCTTGGATGAGGGTAACGTCTCGGTCGTCTATGCCTCCACACCCTGGGGAGTTCTCGCAAAACCAGTGGAGTCCATCTCCTTTGAGAGGGGTAGTCTTCCCTTCCAGACCTTGTCGCGGAAACTGGAGGAATTGCAGACAAAGCATCGTCAAGCTGCGTGGGAATCCACCCATTTCTTTCCCATCTCAGAAGAACTACGGCGAGCCGTAAAGTACTTCGCAACCCTCTACGTGGAGCGCAGGCAGCGCTGGTCACGTTTTCATGCTGCCTGAAAGAGCTTTCCCAAGATCGTGCTGCTGTGCATCGTGGCTGGACATTGCGACCTCGAGATTCTTCTGGATCCTGTCTTTCTTCATTTTCCACGCCCTGGCGAGCGGTCGAAAAGGTACCCTGGTCTACACTGCACCCCGCGACCCGCTAACCTGTTTCAAGCTCTCCGGGACGCCGGCCGGCAAGATCCATGGCGCAAGCAGTATCGCCACGCTATTGCAGATCATCCCCGTTCCCAGCTCCGCGTCTTGAGGGCAAGTTCATCCCTCGGGAGTAGCTTCAGCATCTGGTAAGCTGATCAACATAGTCACCACCCTGCGCCTATCAACCACGTTTGTCTTTGGTCTTGTTCGTCTCATGCGGCGTTGTGCTGGTTCCTTTGTTTCGAAGCTAACCTCTCTTGCTTTGTAGTTGCGTCTGCTCCCGTTTCGGTTGCTAGTTGTCCACGTCGATGAAGATTCATCTCCTTCATGGATTCTCACCCTCGCCACCGCTTTTGCGCATCGTCTCTCACGACAGAAGCTACGTGTTTACCCAGTTGTTGGCTCTCTGCTTCAGCTCTCCGCCCCCATGTTGGGTTCACTATTCGCTGGTTCTTCGATCATCGGCACGATAACGGTTGTCGATCTCGATCAATCATCTCGATCCTCGATCTCGATCAGCCATCTCGATCATCGAACCTCGATCACCCATCTCGATCATCGAACCTCGATTACCCATTTCGATCATCGATCTTGATCGTCGATCATCGATTTTCGATTTTGATCATCGACCCTCGAACACCTATCTCGATCATCTATTTCTTATCCGTCCACATGAGGTACGTGATACCGTCCATCGTTCAAGCTTCCCTTCTAACTTTCGATATTCCTCTTTCGTCTTCACGCATTATACAGATACCTTATCCTCCCAGTGTGTGGCCACCCCACACACTACTTTCACCCGCCGATAGCTTACTCAGCGTTCATCCCTTCTTCATGTGATTGCATCACGTTGAAGCGGTTTCGGCTGATGCGTCCGCGCTCATACGCGTACAACAAGGCGGCGCAATTGAGGTCAGCTTCGGCCACCCATGTCGGTCGATCGTAGCCTTTCCAGTGGTCCTGGAATTCTCGGTGCACCCGCTATGAGCGGGTGCGTCTCCCTGGTCACATGTACGCGATCCGTTCTACCTCGAACTCATCTTCGTCCAGTGGAGTGCCCCAGCTTTCGTCCGGCATCAGTTCTTCATCAAAATCTGCGCGATCGTCGTCTTCGGTGTTCAAAGCTACTTTAGGTCGATCCGGGAATGTTCGCACTGGCTTCAGCTTCGACAGGTGTACTATTGGGAAGATGCGATATCCTGAGCCGGCGGTCTCGAGACGGGCTGCGTGATTGCTGATCAACTCTGTCTGGCGTAACGGTCCATGCCACATGTGTGCGAGCTTACGGGCGTAGCCTTGCTTCACGTGATCCCGCTAAAGCCATACCTGTGTGCCATCCCCAATCCGGTGTGGTCTGACGTTTTCGTTGTGGTAGTCAGCCCTAGACTTGATCACCTCGCGCAGATTCTCGTTGACTGCTTCCCTGGCTCAGCGGTACTGTTCTTGTATGTGGTACCTCCATCCCCGTGCATCGCAATCGCGGCGGCGTGTCGATCCCACCAAAACAACTGCTTCAAGGGTCGACCGTGGATCCCATCCATGGACCAGGAAAAACGACGTCTGCGACGTACATCTTCAGGGCTCGTGTCAGGGTTTGCCCCATTCGTTCAGCCTTGCCGTTTCCTTGTGGACGATAAGTCATTGTTGCGCTCTGTCTCATTTTCACGATCCGGTTGAAGGAACGAAAGAAGTCCGACATAAACCCCGGTTCCCCGTCGTGTCTGATGACTTCGCTCGCGCCAAAGCGACGGAAGACGCATTCTTCGTAATTCCCGACCACAGCCTGTGTCTCTCTCGACGGACCTGCCTTGGCTATTACATAACCGGTGAACAAGTCGACCCAAATCTGCAGTTCGGTGTTCCCCTTGAACGACTTCCTCAACGCCGGGATGTGGTCCATGGAGATCACATGAAAAGGATACGTACCCTGGATATTTCCTGGTGATTCTCCCTGGTCAGTTGGCTTTCCTTTCCCGGTTTCACAATCGGTACAATCCCCCACGTAACGCTGTACGCCTCGATACAGCCCACACCAGTGAAAGTTCGCTTGGATCGTCCGGGAAGTCCTTCCGACACCTTGATGACCTCCTTCTAGGCTGACATGATAATGATGAAGGAAGTCTCGGTGCAAGCTATCGGGTACCACCATCCTGACGACTCTATCGCGATCTTCAACTCGTTACAGCGTCTTGGGGCAAAAGAAGAGTAGCCCATTCTCGTCTACTTCATAATTCGCGGCTATCTTCGAGCATGTCTTCGCTGTCAAGGCATTCACATCTCCGCCCAGGTACTTCTTCCACAATCCATTTCTCTTTATCCTGAGCCTGCTTAATCCTCTGACACCGTATGTGCTGTACGATAAATTCTTTCATCGCTTTCGGTGTGAGTCGTTGTCTCCCAGCGGCTGGCGTGATTGCGTTTACGCTGACGACTGTCTCGATCAACTTTGGTTTCAGCATCTCGCCCAGTCGGGTGAGGGTGATCAGATCTCGACGGTCGTCCTCTGAGGTCACTATTTCGCGTTCTTCTCGTTGCAGCGTCGCACTTGCCAACTTGTCCGTACTCTGGTTCCATTCACGCTTCACGTGGAGAAACTCGTGTTTTGGCCACACCTGTAGTCGATTTAGTGCCTTCTGTCGGAGTTGTTGCAGGCCTGGTGCTTTGTAGTCCATCTCACCCTGCATCTGACGAATCATCAAGTTTGACTCGCCACAAATTACGACGCGCCCCTGTCCAACTTTGAGAGCAAATCAAATCAAAGAATCAGTCCACGGTATTCCGCCTCGTTCACTGTCAAGTCCGGCATGTACTCCGACATGACCTCCACCACCGTTTACTCCAAGGGCTTCCACACGACTGCACTATATGCACCGCCGCTGCGCTTCACTCGCGCAGACCCGTCAAAACTGACCACCAAGATGTTCTCGTCTTGTCCGATCGTTGGTGGAGGCATGGTGACCATTTTCGGTGGCTGTTTCTGAGGTGCTATCGCGACTAGAGCTTCATCGACATCGGCTCGGAGAGTGATGCTAGCTGCCATCTTCACTCTTCAAACATTTGGCGACTTCCAACGTCCATCCTGACAGCAACGCTGCCCACCTACCCAGTCGACCGTCGAACCCTTTCGACTAGAGCAGCCAGGCCAATGTCGAGAATCGTGACAAGACCTTGATCGATCTGGTAACCAGCTGCGAAACCAGACGTCCAAGATTCGCAGAAGAGCCAATACATCTTTATCCACCACTCCATAGTTGAGTTCGTTTTCCTTCAGCGTGTGACTGGTGAAGGTCACTGGATGGTACACGCCGTCGTGTTCCTGCATCAGGGCCGCTGACACAGCACTCTTGTACGCGTACAGCACGATAACGGGAGTGCCTTCAGTGTTGAAGTGCTTCAGAACCGGCGTGGCAATAATCTTCGCCTCTAACATAGTGAAAGCGTTCTTTGCTCTCGCCCACCTATCGCGCTCGCCCCCAGTTATTTGACTATCATCGTTCCGCGTCTTACGAGCCTTTTCTGCGTCCAACTTGGCAACTGCATGGAAGTGTGCCTCTCGTAGCTCGTACAAGATCGCGGAGTAGACTGCGAAGTCCTCAATGAAGCGGCTATAATAGTTCAAGCACCCGAGGAATGACTGCATCGCCTTCGGCTTGGTGGGAAACGGAAGGTTATCGATTGTGTCGAGTTCCTTCGGTATCGCTTCCAGCCCAGCTGAAGATACCTCGTGTCCTAGATACGCCACCTTGCGCCGACCCCAGTAGCTTTTGGCCACGCTGATCGACAGTTTCTTCGATCACAGACGTCGAGCAGTTTGTCGACACGGTTGCACATGCTGTCCCACGTGTCACCCGTCACCAGGATTTCGTCCACATACGACCTCCGCCCGAGGACCGACGCCTTAGGTTTAGGCTCCGGCTCTCCTTCCTCGAAGATGTCAACGGGGCTCGACCTATCTTGATCGGGTTTGATGCGCATGTAGCCATTGTCGACGATTCGTTGGTAGGTCTGAGGGGCGTTCTTTAACCCGAACGATATCCTCGTCCACTCGAACAGCCCGAATGGTGTGATGAACGCTGACACCAGCCTTGCTCGCGGGGTCATTGACACCACCCAGAAGGCACTAGCCATATCGAGGGAACCGTACCAGAGCGCATTGTCCAAATCTTCAAGGAGGTCGTTCATCAACGGCATGCGGTATACCACCAACCTCGTAAGGCTGTTCACTACCTGGTAGTCAATGCAGAGGCGGATGTCAACCCCGTTAGCTTTGATGATGACTACGATGGGTGACGCCCAAGGTGAGGTGGATGTAGTGATGATCTTTGTCGACAGCAGTCCATGGATGAGCATTGATAGCTTCTCGCGGAATTGTGGCGCTACCCGTCGACATCGTTGAGCTACCGGCTTTGCCGTTCCGACATCGATGTCGCAAATAGCTCCGAAGGCGGGCGGTGGAAAGGCGTTACCTGCTCCGATCAGCAAGTGGCGTCACTTCCGGATGATGGGACGCAGTCGTTTTCGTTCCTCCGGCGTCGCATGTGGATCATCCACTTGTATGTCGTCGATGGTCCTTCCTTCGTGGTAGCCTTCACTTCCGGCAGGAGCCATGTTATTCTCGACGTCTTCAGAGAAGATGTCCCCGCCTTCAAGGTAGCAGACAGCTACGTCCATGGCATCGTCAGCTTCCTCTTTTGGCTCCACTTGTGTCCCTCCCAATTCCGTTGATCGCGGCTGTTCTCGATCACTCTTAGTCTCTCCCTTTGGTTCTGTCGTATTGATACGACTTTCTTCCTTTGGCTGAAACTTTGCCGACTCTTCACCCGCGATGTCTTGTACCGTGATCGACTCTTTCGCAGACGCCGACAGGACAATCATGGTCTTCGGGCGTTCTTACCTACCCGACAGGATCTTGGTCGGCGGCTCGTATTGAGGCCTGTCTACCATCGGTTCTGTCGCAGTTCTGACTACCTCATTCACAGCCTGCTGCTCCGTGGTGGCTTGCAACGCCAAGGTTTGCCACTCAGCGTATCTCCGTGACCCGATCGAGACAAACCCTAGCATCCGCGGTATGCCAGCCAGATACCAACTCGAGTATCGCGTTGTAACGTCACTGATCGTTCTGACACATTTGTTATACGCAGGTACTGTGTACTGCTTAGTCCCTTGACCACAGTTGGTACCCACTGTTCTCCACGGGTGTCCCACAGTCTCTGTCTGTCCGACGCAGATGTGCGGATGACGATCTCCATCGATCCTGCAACCGGGATTTTGTGGTGTTCATCGAAGGTGATCAACCTCGAATTCCCGCTGAAGAGCTGGCGACGTCCGGACAGCTGAATTCTCACTTCGTTCGGGAGCCACGGCGCCCTGCGGTCATGACAAGACGGATTCCCGCCGGTACCATGAAGTCCATCCCCAATATCGCATCTTGGCATGACAGGTCTCTGACCCAAGTGTCGAAGTAGTATACGTATGCTCCCGCGAGCATGATCTTGATCCGGGTACGACCTTCTGTCATGTACGCGTTTTCCCCAACGCTAACACACTCTTGTTTTTGGCTGCCATCTATAGCGCATCCGACTTTATGAGCAAAGGTAGAATCCACAATGGAGACTTCAGCTCCAGAGTCGAAAAGGAGCACGGCCTTTCCGTTGTTGATCTTGACAGTTGACTTGGCTTGCTTGAACCATTTGCCCGGAGCGTGGTACTTCCAACACCCTCGCGATTCTCCTGGCAGTAGGTCCAGTGCCATGATCACATCCGATCGAGAGTAATCATCCTCCCGCAAACTCGCGACTGTAAAGGTACGCTTCTCGTGCAATTCACATGTATTGTCAATCAGCTTACTAATCTCCCGTGTCTTCCGCATCTCGACGAATGCGTAAATGCAGATTTCAGAACGCTCGGCTCGAACCAGATTCCAACCTGGCGAGCGTTCTAATTTAGCATCTTTTCGGCATTAGCAGGCAACATTCCCGCGTGCATGTTCGGGACGTACCACTGACGGATCAAGTTGTAGAACTCCTGCATCGGACCCTTTCCGGGTTCATGCATCTCTCCGCATGCTCGGCAGACGAAAAGACACTGATCGGATGTATGCCCCTTCCTGCCGCACGTTTGGCACGTCAGCCGCGTCCAGCAACCCAGGTTGTCGTGCTTCGTTGATCTGCAGTGGGTACAGTTTTTCTGGGACATTATGGGATGGTCGGCTGCGCCGTCTCTGTGCGTCGTCGTGATCGAGTGGTTCTCTCGGTCGTTAGCTTCCGCCAAGTACACGTGACGGCACTCGTCCTCTTGATCCGATGTACTCACATCCGATTCTGACTCACTGCTGGCTTCCGCCGCGCAGATCGCTCGTACTACTCGCGCATTCATCGAGGACGATGACGGAGGTTCCGGCGTCGCTTTCGACTGGAATTTGCTTGTTCCAGATTGGGGTTTCCCTTGATGGGCCTTCGCGCGTTGTCGCGCCCGTAGTGTCTCCTCCAGATCCTCCGCGTCGGTTAGCTGCAGCAGAGCCAGCTGATCAGCCAGATCTCGATCATCCAACGTCTCGATGAAATGCTCGACGTGTTCCCGGCGTGTGGCCAGCGATCCATCCTTGATCGGCAGCTTAGCTCGCAAGCCTGCCACGTTGAGGTTGTGAAGATATTCCAATGGCGACTCGTCCGACCGTTTCTTTGCGTGGTAATACTGTCGCGCGACAGATACTCCTCGTCCGCAGTATTGTGTCTGGGACGCCTCAAAAAAGGTCTTCCAGTTGCTCCTTGTTGATCGACTCAACTGTCGGTACCAGTTGCGAAAGGGTCCCGTGAGGAGATCACCCAGTACCAGACAATTTTCGCTGTCTGGAGCTTGATCGCGGACGAACGCAGCCTGTACTTTGCCCAGCCAACTCTTCGCGCGGTTCTCGTCGTGACCTTTGCCGGGGTATTCCTTCACCTCCGAGATCGCGGACATTCGTATACGTGGCGTCGCCGTCGAGGGGGCAGAGGCTGTCCCTGCGGATGTGATCACTGCTTGTCGATGTGTGTCGATGCTCAGGTTGTCGGGATCATACTCTCCGTGTGAGCCGTGATGGGACTCCACCGATTCCATCTCTACATCTTGATTGGTCGTCGTGTGCCGACCGGCCGTTGGCGTCAACCCTTCGGTTTGTGTCTCCATGAAGTATCGATTCATGGCTGCATTGAAGAACGTCTGCAACCGCTCTTGACTCCTTGGCGTCGCTGTCGGTGCGGCCATGGGTGTTGGTTCGTGCAATGATCGATCAGGCTTATTGTTAGCCTAGCAATCCTGCGGCATCGCTGCTCCTGACGGGCCCAGAGTGATACGCTCCAGATCAACCGAACTGTTCGATCCGGCGTCGGACGTAGCCGATGCGTATTGTGACAACCCTGTTTGGTATTCCTGGCCGCGGACTGGTGTCAGCTTGATCGTCTCCGGCTGGGCGACAGATCCTACTAGTGGCTCCAGCTTGTTGTATATCAACGTCGCTGAGCGGTAGATCACCGGGGTCTCCCGGTCGAACAGCTCACTCGCGCTGAACGCCCCTGGCATGATACGAGCATCTTTCAGGATGCGAAGGAGCTGTGTTGCGGCCTCCAACTATCGAGACGTCTCTGTTGGTGGCGTCGCCGGGCCATGGAGCTCTCCGATCTACGCCGGGCGCAGGATCTTCATCACCGGATCCTCGAGTAAGAACGCCAAGAGGTCTTTCTTGTAGAAGATCTGCGCCAGTTATTCCTCAGTCCACGTCCGTCCGTCACGATCTTCCGCGTCCGAGTTCGGAACCTTCCGTTTTGCCTTTCGCGCCTTTGTCTTGTTCTTCTTTGAGCCGACACCTGTGGTCGGTGGGGTGGTTGTGGGCTTGCGCCGTCCGAGCCTCAACCGGCGGATCGTGACCTCTGTCACCGTCCGCGGGGGCTCCCGAGAGAGCCTAGGGAGGAGGGCGAGGCATTTATTTTCAGGTCCATGTCCGGACCTTCCTCCTTGGCATTCTCAGAGCTCCTTCCAGCACTCTGACTTTGCGTGTATCCTGCTTCACTCAGCAGCGTCTGCGACGATCCACCTTCCGCTGACGCCTCAATCCCAGGCTCCAACTTGATCTTTGTGGCATCTTCGTTGGACTCATGGTGAAATCCCTGTGAGTCCCCAGAAGATCCGGGCACCACGCGCACCATTGTGGCGGAGTGGGTTGGCAGAAATTGCTGACTGCCGCTGTCCAGCTCGCTACAGTGCCTCGGACGACCGACTAATGGAGGGGGTACTCCGAATGTCCGCCGACACTGAGGTTCTTCTCACTTTGTGTACTCGTCGGTGGGGCGGGGTTACACTCTTCCGGTGACTTGAGGATGCCTGGGTGTTGGTCGTGGGAACC